GAGAAGAGCTAAAGTAACGTTCATCCCAAAGGCAGGGAGAAAGGATGCCACTCTACCGAAGTCGTTCAGACCTATATGGCTCACGTCGTTCTTACTGAAGACAGTTGAGAAAGTTGTAAATAACTATATCAGAACAAATGTTCTAGAAAAGAAGACACTACATCCTAGGCAACATGCTTACAGAGCGGGCAGATCAACAGAAACCGCTCTATTTGAACTCACTGACAGCATCCAAAACACACTGCTGAATAAAGAAGTAGCCATCTGCGCCTTCTTAGACATAGAGGGGGCTTTCGATAACACCTCTCATGAGTCAATAAGGAATGCGCTTCTCAGAAAAGGAGTAGACAAAACCACATCCACCTGGATGTGTGAAACGTTAGCCACCAGAACTGCAGAAACGGATGTGGGGGAACAAACCATACAAGTCACCACAACGAGAGGATGTCCACAGGGAGGGGTACTCTCACCCTTGATGTGAAGTCTAGTAGTCGATGATCTACTAAATACACTGACAGACCAGGGCTTCAACTGCCTTGGTTACGCCGATGATATTCTCATCATAGCCAGAGGCAAACACGAAGAAATACTCTGTGACCTTATAGAAAAAGCACTCCGAACCACGAAGGAATGGTGTCAGACTGTGGGACTGAATCTTAACTCATCAAAAACCACACTGGTAACATTTACAAAAAGAACGAAACTCCCATACCTGAGGAACATTCGCCTCGATGGAAGCAGGCTTCACTGGAAACAAGAAGTTAAATTCCTAGGAATAACCCTCTCTACTCTACTCTAAACTCCTTTGGAACCGACACATAGAGAACATAACAAACAAAGCAATTTCGGCACTCATGGTAACCCATCGATCCTACGATGGATGTATACCATGATAGTGAGACCTATCATCACCTACGGAGCGGTAGCCTCGTACAGCCGAACCCAGCTAGGAACGGCTAGGAAAACCCTAGGAAAGGTACAAAGACTCGCATGGTATGCATAACAGGAGCAATGAGAACATGCCCAACCGCGACAATGGAAGTCATCCTAGACCTAACACCACTTCACACAATAGTGAAGCGGGTTGCCAGTGGATCATGTCTAAGACTGGCGAAGATAAGTCTACAAGGAAAAACGCACTTTGGCAGGGCTTTCCCTGTCCCAAACTGTGCACACCTCATGGACTTACCAAAAGACGCGATTGTTGATAAATTCAGTTTCGAGAAAAACTTTTCCATCGAACTGAGTACAAAGAACAGATGGAACATAGAATGTATCCAGTCCCTTAACGCAAACACCATCAAATGGTTCACAGACGGCTCCAAAACTGCTGAGGGGACAGGAGCCGGAGTATTCGGGCCACGAACCAGATACTCGGAGCCAATGGGCAAATCATATTCCAAGCCGAACTTCATGCGATCGGAAAATGCGTGCAGTTCAACCTGAACAGAAGGTACCGAAAACGAGAAATTGTAATAATGTCTGACATTGCATTGAGCTGGCCGGTAATCAATTCTAAGATAGTATGGGAATGTCTACAGAAACTCAATGAGCTGGGGAAGGAAAACAAAGTAACTCTACTCTGGATTCCTGGACACATAGGAGTCGAGGGCAATGAATGCGCAGACGAACTTGCAAAAACGGGAGCGGCCACTCCCTTCACTGGGCCAGAACCATTCTGCGGCGTCGGAAATGCGCACCTGCAAGAAATCCTCAAAAAATAAGAGAACCGGCTAAGGAACAAACAATGGCTAGACCAACCAGGACTACGACTGGCCAAAGATCTACTGGGTAGCTACAACCAAAAAAAATCTGAACTGCTGGTCAACCTTAGCAGGAAAAGTCTCAAAACTCTAACCGGGTTTCTCTCGAGACATTGCAGACTGAATAAGCACCCACATAATCTGGGGTTGGAAGAAGGTTACATTTGCAGATTCTGTGAAGACGGTGAAGAAACACCTCACCGTCTTCTACTGAACTGCGATGCCGTTAGCCGCTCAAGAATGAAGAACTTGGGAAGTCCCCTATACAGCTGGAAGACATTCCAGCCCTGGAACCGCTAGACATCCTAAAATTCCTAAAGGACCTAGGACTACAGGGGCTGCTTTAGGCAGGAAACCCGAACTTAGCAGCAGAAGGAGGGGTACAATAGATCAACCTTGGTCGCAGTGCAACTGACGCCTCCAACACATACATACATACATACATACATACATACATACATATATACATACATACATACATACATACAAATAGAAGTTTAATATTTTGACTCATTGATTAATGAAACTACTTTTACATCAAAATATTCATGTGTTTATCTTTGTTTTTCTTTATAACTTTATCCTTTCTCCTTTTGTATTCTATATTTTTGCAATAATTATTCTATTTCGCCTGATTTTCTGCATCATCTATATAGGTATACCTATAAATATTTAGTTCCTCTATACTGTCTACTTCAGCTATTTTATTAGTTTTTGTTCAATGCAAGTATACTTTTACTTATTTCATACACTTTCTTCGCAGTTTCTAAGTTTTTCCAAAAATATCTATAAAATTCGCGTTATTAGTTATGTCGTTCAATTTTTTGTCAATAGGTAATATCATGTAATGTGCTCTGCCTTTTTCGAACTGTCTCTTATACTTTTGTCCGTTTTCTACTCTCTTCTGCCTTTGTTTGCAACACAGCTCACTCGACTTTGTTATATTTATTTGTCTGAGATTTCTTATCTGACTTCTTGTCATCTGATTTTAAACTCTCATTTCTCCATGTATACCTACAGACTTTCTATTTCTGAGGCCTCAAACTTTTTTTTGGATGATCATGGATCCTGCACTCTTTCTACTTTCTAATGTCACTTGTGATGGAACACTTTCTTAGATCATTTTGTCAGATATGTTGGAGTTTTCTATATGCTATTAAACTGTGAGATAGGGGCTCTTCAGTGGAGTCATTTTTTTTGTCTGGCATTTTGAAGGCTGAATGTGGCTACTAAGCTGATGAGAATATGGGTGATTTTAATGCTTGCCTCCCGTTCGAAAATTTGCAGAAGAAAAAAATTGATTAACATGAAGAATTTTTTTTTAATGATCTCAAATTTTCTGGCTTTTACATGAAATATTGACATTGATAAATAATTCACTCATGAAAAATACCAGATACTTTTCAATAGCTGAAAAAGTGGGGATGGGTGTCAACTTCCAAGAGAAAAGAAAAGAACCTTCCGCGTTTACTTTTTGTCTGGCAATCGAGAGAATGAAAGGTTTTGTTGTGAAAATAACGCTGAAAAATCGCCAGACGGTAAGTACAGTTCAAAATCGAGTTTTCCGGCGAAACATTCTGTGGACATTTCGAACAGGGGGGAGGCATTAAAACCACTTATATTCTCATCAGCTAACTAGCCACATTCATCCCTCAAAATGCCAGACAAAAAAAAATGACTTCACTAAACAGGCTCCATCTCAGGGTCTATACAGGGTGTCCCATGGTGGATGGCGTATTAGACGTTAATGGAAAACTAAAAAGCGGATCATTTTGAAAATTTGACAACCGAGATAAACGACCATAATCTACACTTTAAAAGTATTTTTGTTTATGCGGTGTCGCCGCTTCTACTCTAAGCCAGTGGCAACATCGTCATTTTAAATGGAATACCCTGTATATGATTGCATATTTGCATTCTTCGTAAAATTCTGAACAGATTTCATGTGATATACCCTATACCTAAGTTCAACTGTTTTGGAAATATTGACAGTTGAAAATTGACTTTTTTCAACTTTGACGGGCTGTGAAACCTGAACGGTTAATTTTAGGCGAAAAACAATTTTACTTTTCTATCTTAGATTTTTATAAACTATCATTTGACACCAACTTTGAAGTTAATGCATGATTAAAAATTCCAATTAAATTTAATCTCCGGTTAAATTAACAGTTGGTGTCAAATGATAGTTTATGAAAATCTAAGATAGGAATGTAAAATCGGTTTTCCTCCAAAATTAATCGTTCAGGTTTTACAGCCTGTCAAAGTTGCAAAAAGTCAATTTTCAACTGTCAATATTTCCAAAACATTTGAACTTACGTATAGGGTATATGGTATATCACATGAAATCTGCTCAGAATTTTACGTAGAATCCAAATATGCAATCAGATACAGGGTGTTCCATTTAAAATAGCGATGTTGCCACTGGTTTAGAGTAGAAGCGGCAACACCTCATAAACTAAAATATTTTTAAAGTGTAGATTATGTTCGTTTATCCCGTTTGCCAAATTTTCAAAATGATCCGCTTTTTAGTTTTCCATAAACGTCTAATACGCCATCCACCGTGGGACACCCTGTATACTCTTGTACTTTGTGTTTGTGATATCTATAGAACTCTTCGAGGATTTTTCCATTCAACTTTTTATCCCAGTAGTCCGAATCTGATGATGAATTTTCATAAAGATGATTTATTCAAACAAATTCTTGAGGAGAGACTCTTTTTCTCTGGACCAGGAGTTACAATTTATGCAAGATTGAAAGTAATTCTCCAACGTCAGGAAACACTCGTTACTGATTGCAAAGATGGACTAGTCTTAAAAACTCTATTATGGAAATTATCCTGTCTATTATTGAATTTCTTTCCAAAACTTGTCTTTTTTCAAAAAAAAAAAAACATTAGCTTTGCCGGCTATTTTTTTCAGTGATTGCTTTTCAAAAGTATAAACTTTTGGTAGTTTTGTTGTGTTTATAGAACAATCAATGCTGCGGTTGACTATCATTTATCTAGAATAACAAGAACGGCAGAAAACTTTCGGCAAATATAAAATTCATAGAAAATAAAAGTGTTTAGGAGGACAATCAGAAGCGCGCTATTTCCTGGAAATCTATTTTTATACGTAATAGCAAAGAGATTTCAAATTCCATATTTTATTTATGAGAATAATAGATATGTATAGTTTTATCCAATATTTTTTTTTGTTTATATCAAATTTAGATCTTATTATGCTTATATTTACTTACACTCCTATATCAGCACATCCATATCCATTACTCACTACCGCTCCAGTCACAGAGTGTTTCTTGTTCATGACCAACAGCCATACTACAGCTATCACTACTGCTACAACTACTGCTGCTGCTACGGCGACGCTAAAAATTTTGCACTTGGAAACCCTAAAAAAGAATAATAATTAGAAGCTAAAATTGATAATGGCAATTAAGAAATAAATCAGGCTTGTGTGGTGTAGCCAATCAAAAATCATGAAAAAATAATGTTAAAAATATTAAACAAGTAAATAGTTACTGCATTATTTGTAAGGAAGTAAGTATAAACGCGAGTATAGTAGCAATTATTTCAATAAATATAAACATAGAAAAAATTTGTTGTTTATGAATTAGTATCTATATCCGTCAAAGCCAATGTTAAATTATAGTTAATTATTATTAACGTTTAAAAATGATATTGGTACCGTCCAGTAAATGGTAACTTTTATAAAAAAAATTGTTTTCATGGTACATATTTCCATACGTATTTGCATTTATACCTATTTTATGTAATAATAATAAAATTATTTGCATTTATACCTATTTTATGTAATAATAATAAAATTGTATATACAGTGAGCACGCAAAGGTTGGAATAAAATTCATAAAATATACAGGGTTGATTTCTCTCATAAAACGTCGACTTTTATTTTAGTTGGCATTTTGGCATGTGTACAGGGTGACCCAAAAAACAAGTTATGATGACAGATAAGCTTATTTTTTAAACAAAACTTGTTTTATTTCATTTTATATTTATTTATTTATTTGTTTTTATTACGCATACATCATCAACCATTATCGCACGCTGCAGCGAGCAAATTATATTTTTCGTTCAGTAAATCTTGTTTTTAAAAACTATTTATTTTATTAAAAACTAAGAAGCTACAACAAAAGATACTAGATTCTAAATTGCTGCGGTGAAAAGCCGAGAACAAAAGAATCTTTGATTCTAATTGCTATAGCCTAAGCTACAAAACAAAAGAATGAGGAGAGAAGGCTTTGCGCGCCGTATTTATATTGAAATACTGCTGATGCTTACAATCGTGTGGGCGAAACCTTGATATGACGGTACTTTTCCGGGCAGTACCGCTTACTCAGCATCTTTATAATAGCGTGGGCTTTTACAGTGCCGTAGGCTTATGTTTAACATTGAAAAGGGGAGTTATTTGTATAATGATAACATAGGGTTTTAAAATATAAATCCATAAAATGACGTTTATGATGCGCCTACCTATATCATAATATACCTACCATTATTTAATTAAAGTGCTTCAACAGCAAAGGTCATCGGCACTAAACAGAAATAATTACATTGATTACATTTTACTATTAATAAGTGTTAACTTTGCCAACTATAGATTGTTATATTAATCAATATCTTTAAGAAAATTCATTAGGTTGGCTAAATCATTATTCATATTTGAAACCATCCTAAGTTCTTCTTCCAGTTCATGTTTTCTTCCTAAATTCGCATATTGTCAACAGCGTGTGCTCTACTGTGAGTTAAACATTGCAGTGGGTGCATACCCAGCAAACACACTGACGTCGATATGACGACATTTGACGTGATTTTTTGGTCCGCATTGGTCTCCGACGTCATGGTACCTAATAATGACGTCAATAAATACGTCATTATTAGGCCGTCTTAATGACGACATTCAATGATGACATTTTGACGTCATTGAATGGTAAGAAAAAGACATATCTATTTTGTCATCTAATTTATCAATTTCCTATTTATAATTTAGCCGCCCTTATAGTTGATCAATAATTTTAGTAAGTATAAACATGAGGCACGATACAACTCAAATAGGAATCAAATTTATAAAAACTATCTACTGTAACCAATAAGATATTCCTGGAGTCAACGTTGACTGTATAAAACAACTAATAAGATGCATTGTTCGCACGTGAATTCGCATCCAATGTATTCGGGCACGGTCAATATATTTTTCCTAATAATAGTATAATAATTTTAAAGGGCAATACGATAATTTGAGGAGACCCCAATTTTTGCCTTATCTCATTTGAGAAACGATAGACTATACGCGCTTACAAATGGTAGACTCCATCTTGACGGACAGCGCCGCGCGCCGGCGCTTGGCGCGTGGTAAAACCTGAAACCTCTTGCCTGGTGGCGGAGGTGCCGTGCCGTGCAGATGACTGCGAGAGCGAGATCGGAAGGGTACGAAACCGAAATTCGAATAATAATTTCTCTTTTAATTACCTTCCTCATACCTCTACACCTACAGTGGGAATCATTGCAATTGGCACACACTCGTTAAAATCCCTCGTATTATGTCAAATTTCTAACCAATAAATCTATTTAGTGCAGCATTTTCCTATTAGGCAATTCAAACCACGTGACATTCAAGATGGCATGGCGGCCACACATGGGCCAAAAAACACAAAAAAATATTTAGTTTCTGTCCGAATTAATAGTTTAGGTACCTAGTCAAGAAATATTTTATTAAATGATGAAAATCAAAGTTGTAAGCCAAACTGTATGCAAAATAATTTAAAATACGCATAAAAACATATTCAAAACATACTTGCTTGGCCGCCACGCCACATTGAATTTTCCTTTTTGACAGATGGATTGAATTGCCTAATTACTGTGTGTCAGATTTGACACATTATGAGGGATATTTATATAGTGTGTGTCAATTGCAATGATTCCCACTGTACTTATATTTAAGTGTATTGTGAAGACTGATTGTGGCTTTGCGATGGTGTCAAAAATGGCATATTTTCGGGTGCACACAAATTGCACCCGACAACAGTTATTTCTATAGTGAATAAAAATTGGCTGTCACCGAGAAAACACGTTTGGTGGCCGCCATTTAAAATTTATTTGCAGAGTAGAAATAGTAGCATCAAATTCACCTGCAAGCTAATGCACAGGCTACGTAAATCACCCTGTATGGTTGTATAATTTATTATCGACGTTTTTAAAAAAAAATAAAATGGAAATTTATTCGGTTCATGATTTCACGGTCACAGATTACGTCATATATTCGCTATAAGTCCCTACCAAATCACGTCACAGAGAGCCGTCGTTTTGTCGTTACACAATGACGTCATGGGGCTGTGACATTAACCCGTCATTTTTTCGTCATAATGACGTCATCTTTTTAGTCCCAATGACGTAAATGAAATCCAATTAGTCACGTCATTATGACGACAGCGTGTTTGCTGGGTACCATTGCATTTTTGGATTCTAGACGATACCCATGTGGCATGTGTAGCTCGAGTGTGACCGATAAGTATATCTCGAAAACTTACAAGATTTTTTCATGTTAAATTAGGCTGCAGTCTTTGAGTTATAAACGGTTGGATATTTTGTATTTGAGTGAGTCCAGGCAATTTGCCATTTATTTACTATGATTTTCTTCAGATAGCGCTTTAAGTCCATATATAAGATCAAATTTATAGCAGGGATATGAGCATCTTGAGCAGTTTTGGCTGAGTTATCTGCTAGCTTATTTCGAGTGATTCCAATATATTTTATGACGGCACCCAAATGGTAATTCACACTCCCAAAATGTATAATGATTGGTGAATATTATATTTCTGTTGCACTAATGGATTTGTTGAATATGTGTTACATATAGAGTGGATGGACGCTAGAGAATCAGTACAGATCGCAATGTTCTCACTTGTACCTGAGATCAATCGAAGGGCAGATAGTATTTTATATATTTAGTTCACACTACAATAACTAGAAACAAAGTAATATTGGATGTTGAAAGTGCACAACTAACACTGCTATTTTTCTTGGAGGCATCGGTAAACAAAGCTTCATCATAACTTGAGGAATTGAAAGTCTCAAGCTCAAGGAACAGTTTTCGAAGTAATGAACTAGAAGTGTTATGTTTATTGAATTCCGTCAGCAGCGTATTGATACTAGGCCATGGGCGCCGCCAGGATTAGTTTCAGGGAGGTGCATACGGGCATTGGCGGCGCGTGGATTGTTATATTGGTTCCAATTACTAATTTGAGAAGGTGAATGCCCAACGCAGGAGCTGCCGGAGGCGCGAACATTTTTCCGGGTGCCACGTCCAAAAACGGTTAGACTTTGGCCTAACCTATCCCTTGAGCAGTGGCGCACCCAGAAAATATGTTTGGGGAATGGGGGGACCCTACAAAGGTTGTGGCTTGTGTCTGAAATTCTAAATAAAAAATTGACGTGTCAGGGTGCCACGCCATGATGTCAAATTTCTTTTGTATGTACGTAAAAATATAGTTTTAGACGGGCGGCCTAGGAAGCGCCCTGGACCGATACCCTCCCCTGGGTGCGCCACTGCCCTTGAGTGTCACGTAAAAAGTAGGATAATAAAAATGCGGCCTCGAAATAGTGGTAAAAAATCAAATCACTAGGTCTGTTCCAACACAACAGGAAACCGTACAATGTACCGTCACGATTCTGCGCAAAGCGTAAAATTTGTGCGTAGAAACTGAAATTCGTTCACTGAGTGGTTTCGAACCGTTCATGGGACGGTTTTCGACGTGTTGGAACAGACCTAATATATGGACGGTTGGGTCGGTCTGTGTTTCTCGGAATTATGGTCGGATATATTCGGAATATTTCGGAAGCATGCTCAGCGTTGCCAGATGCTCTCAACCACAGAAACGTATATTATTAGACATGGGCGGTATAGCGATAATATTTTAGAAGATAGGAATTGACTCCCTATTGAATGTAGCCTAATTAAAATGTTATTATATTTGATTTGCATGTATGTCATTTTTTTCTACATATTCGAAATTTTCCGCAGCGTCGTGGGCCCCTTTGGACCGTGAGCTCTTGGGCGGCGCACCGAACTGCCCGGTGATATGTCCGCCCCCAGTGGCGGCTCGTCAGAGGAGGCAGGGGAGGCTAAGCCTCCCCCAAAATATTGAAAATTCAATCTCAATTATTTATTCCTGATTTCTAATTAAAATAATAATTCACAAATTACACTTTCCAAATTTCGATATTTCAATGTAATTTAGAAAAATCTGACGACATTATTTCAATCAATTCCGCGCCTCCACGACAAAAATCTGTGAATCTGGGATACTTAGTAATACGATCCCGAAGGGCCGGAGTAACACGAGCCTGAAGGGCCGGAGTTATACTCGAGCCC